GGAAGCCTGCTTCTCCCTCTCCCACTCCCCCTGCTTGTGTTCCTGCTCTCGCTGTGTCTCTCTCTGTCAAATAAATAAATAAAATCTTTAAAAAATAATAAGTAGTAAAAATATAAACAACCTCATTTTTAAAAGGGCAAAAGATTTTAATACACATAATGCCAAAGAACATAGAGAAATGACTAACAAGCACATGAAAAGATGCTCAACCTTATAACTCATTAGAGAATTGCAAATTAAAACCATATATATGATTTCATACTCACTATAATATGGCTATCATCAAAAAGACCAAAAATAATAATTGCTGGCCTGGAACCTCATGCATTGCTGGGGTAATGTAAAATGATACAGCCATTTTGGAAAAACATTTTGGCGGTGTCTTTAAAAGTTAAATGTAAATTTATCATTTTGGTAAGTCCCCAAGAGAAATGAGCGCATGCCCACACGAAAACCTTGGTACAGATGATCAGAGCAGCATTATTAATAATAACCAAATACTGGAAACAAGCCAATGCCCATCAACTGGTGAATCCATAAATACGATGTGGTCTACCCAGGCAGTGGAATACTTTCCAGCCAGAAAAAGGAGATATTGATTTGTGCTACAACATGGATAAACTTTGAAAACAGTATGCTAACTGAAAGAAGCCAGATGAGAAAGATCACAAATCGTATGATTGCATTTATGTCAAGTGTCCTGAAAAGGTAAATCTATAGAGAGAAAAGTAGATGACGGAGGAGGGCTGTAGGTGGGAGAGGGGTGTGACTGCAAATAGGCACAAGGGATCTTTTCTGAGTGTGGTAGTGTCATAAATTGGGTGTAGTGAGTGATGATTGTACAACTTTGTAAATATATTAGAAACCATTAAATTTTACATTTAAATTGGGTGAATTTTATGACATAAATTATACCTCAAAAAAATGTATTTCCTAAAACAAAAGATGAGGCGGGAAGTGAAAGGATGTGCCAAACACTCTATATTCTTGCGTGTAACTTCCTGCTAACCTTCGAGATGGGTGATGGCATCTCATTTTGTTGTTGAGACATTGAAGCTCAGCAAACATCAGTTCTCTGATCAAAGTTGCCCAAGTAATTATGTTGACAAGAATATAAGGCATAAAATGTTGATTAAAATGTGATTCACTGGGGCGCCTGGGTGGCTCAGTCGTTAGGCATCTGCCTTCAGCTCAGGTCATGATCTCAGGGCCCTGGGATCGAGCCCCACATCGGGCTCCCTGCTCAGCGGGAAGCCTGCTTCTCCCTCTCCCACACCCCCTGCTTGTGTTCCCTCTCTTGCTGCGTTTCTCTCTATCAAATAAATAAATAAATCTTAAAAAAAAAAAAAAAAAAGTGATTCACTAGGGTGCCTGGGTGGCTCAGTCAGTTGGGCGTCTTTTCTGCTTTCAGCTCAGGTCATGATCCCAGCATCCTGGGATTGAGTCCCACGTCAGGCTCCCTGCTCAGCAGGGAGTCTTCTTCTCTTTCTCCCTCTGCCTGCCACTCCTCCTGCTTGTGCGCTTGCTCGCACTCTCTCTCAAATAAATAAATAAAACCTTTAAAAATAAAATGTGATTCACTAGCTAGGAGAATTTATTTGAAAATTGCTAGTGCTCACATGACATAGTCTATTGAAAAATACCTGGAATGTGGTTGAAGGATGACAACCAGAAAAAACACCTGGGAGTGGTTTCTGGAGCCATCTCCTAACCCAGGTTCACTTTACTGCTGAGGATGACTGGGACTTTCTTTGTATACATAGGGGATTTTAGGAGAGTGACACTGAATGGTCTGTCCGAAAGTGGTAGTGGAGAGCGAAAAAAAGCCTATTTTAAGTAAGTCTTTGACCTCAAGATAAGGGGTCTTATGGAAATGGACAGTTTCAGAACTTCGAAAGGGAAGTAGTGCCCATAGATAAAATCAGGGTAGATAAGGTGAGAAATTCGGCAAGAAAAGATTGAAAGTACATTGAAATTTCTTAGCAGTACAAGAGAAATGAGAAAAGACGTTTGTCTTTCTAGATAGAACGAGAGGCAGTTCTTACAGGTGTCAAAGTGGAAGAGTGTGAATCTGCCCAACACAGGACCCAGCATAGCATCAGGGGCTCAGAGATACAGAGTGATCAGGTAGATTTAGAACTAAAACAATAATGCAGCCGTGACTAATGATACCCACACAGGTGTAGTTGTACTTAGGGACAACAGCAATCAGGAGGGGATTTTATCTATTTTTGAGAAGGGAGAAAGAGGAGTAAGTGGTCCCTTTTTGATTAGCAGTAAGAAAGATATGTTCATGGGATTCACTTTGTGCAGCAGTCCGGGGGCAGGAAGAGTGGAGTCAGTACTGAAACAGATGATGTCTGATGTCCTCCCAGCTCCATGATGTGTGAAAGAAACACTTCCTTAGAGTGAAAATGAGAAGAGAATTGAATCCTAGATGTTCTTAGTATAGACCAAAATGTTCGAAAATAGATTTTAGGAGGACAAAACTGAATTTTTTAAGAGAGAGTCTTCTTCAGCTTAGTGATAGATTTTATCACCAAAAAAGTGATCTCTTATGTAAGGTCTTTGTTCCAATGTGTTTATGGGTTTGAAATGTTTATTTTGATCAGTCTAGTTCTTCTGTAATGTACCAAGTCGTATTATACTGAAAATTTATAGATGCTTTTTGTCTTTTTGAGTTCTCTGTCCTGAGAAAATACCACTTAGGTTCTGCTTTATATGTATATATGGTTGGTGATACCCTAGAACATAGTGAGTTTCAGTAAATTAAGTTCCAGCTGGTGTAGGCAGCCTGCGTTTGTGATATGGGGCGTTGACTGAGAACTGACAGGAGGACCGCTACCATACTGCCTTCTGTAAATAGCGTCAGAACTATGGCTCCCGGGGACAGCTGAATTCTGCTTTATGGCAGGTGCTCTGTCCTCTGACTGCCTTATGAGTCGTTTCTACTTTGGCAAAGACACTACATTCTTTTCGTCACGCTTCCCTTCGTGACTCAACAGGCCTAACCTCTAGACCTGTGCCGGCCACCGTGTGGCAGGCACTAGCCACCTGTGCTTTTTAAGCACGTATAACAGGGCTAGTTCAAAGTGAGATGTGCTGTAAGTGTAAACTATACACCATTTTCAAAGACTTAGTATGAAAAAAAATACTTTTTTGAGACTGATTGCATGTTAAAATGATAATATTGTGGAAATAATTTAACCTGTTTTTAATATTTTCAGTAGGACCACTAGAAAATTTTAAATCACGTATTTATTATGTTTCTGTTGAACAACATTGATCTTGAACATTAAATAATTCCAGTGAATGTGTTTTAGTTTTCAGCAATGATATTTATGTCAATTAGTTGTTTGTAAACAAACGTTTGTTGTTCTCCTTACAACAAAAAGAAGTTTAGCATCTTGTTGTTTTTTTAAGGTCTCTCAAATAACAATTTCCTAGAGCTTCATTTTTTTCATGCTTTTATGAGATTCATAATATCCTTGTCTGTTATTGTTTCCATGAATAAGAAAATGTTTACAATAGGCTTTTTGAGAGCTGATTTTCATTACTGAATGACTACTTAAATTTTTCAATGCAAAGAAGGCATCTAGACATAGGCCCGTAGTTATTTTTGTACTATTTCTGCAGATGTTATTATTGACATGTTAACTTTAGAGAAATATGTAACTTTTAGTTTTTCTTACCTTCGTTGTTTGTGTTGATTTTTCTATAGAGACTACTAAAATTTCTGATTGAAAATGCTTTTCAGAAGCAAGGATTGTTTTGCTTTATGTTTCTTCCCCAGACCAGTTGTATTCCATAGTTACAGCTTCTGTGATTCTTTCTTTTATTTTTTGAGTAGGAAACTGGAAATAGAAATCTGTGTTCTCTGTTTCTTCCCTGGCTGCTTTATTACGCTTGCCTCTTAAAGCAGGTTTCTTGGTTTGGGTTCTAAAATGTTCATTTCCATAAGATTGCTAAACTAGGTTAATAGAAGGACACATGTAGGGGTTATTGGATGGTAGATGACTTCGTCACCATTGAGTCGAGAGTGTGGCTGAACAAAGCCATGGTTCCGGTAGAGACACCATCCCACCCCCCACCACCCCCACCGAAGGTCACGTTCTCCTCTGGTTCTCCTCTCAGGCACCACAGACAGCACGTCCAGCAACACTGCCACGGTCATTTCCACGGCGCCGCCAGCTTCCTCAGCCGTCACCTCCCCCTCGCTGAGTCCCTCCCCGTCTGCCTCAGCCTCCACCTCCGAGGCATCTGGTGCCAGTGAGACCAGCACAACACAGACCACCTCCACTTTGTCCTCTCCTCTTGGGACCAGCCAGGTGATGGTGACCGCGTCAGGCTTGCAGACAGCAGCGGCCGCCGCCCTCCAAGGGGCTGCACAGCTGCCGGCGAACGCCGGTCTCGCCGCCATGGCCGCCGCCGCGGGACTGAGCCCGGGCCTGATGGCGCCCTCACAGTTCGCAGCTGGGTAAGGAGCCTCTCGCCCTGGTCACCTGAGCAACAGCTAGGAGCCCTCCCTGGAGCCACTCGTCGGGGACACTTGACCACCCTCTTAAGTGCCCCCTCCCCCCGAAAAAACTCTCAAGCCGTCATCCGTTTGGCACAGGTGGCTCTGTGCTAGCGCCGGGGCCTTGGTCACAGCTGGACTCTCACTGCTATTTCCAGATGAAGACGCAGAGCTGATCTGCCTGAGTTGTGGGGCCAGGAAGACAGCCCAGAATTCTCCATTTAAACTCTCTCAGCTGTCTGCTCTCTAATTCTCAGACACAGGCAAGAGATAGAGCAGTTAGATCCCCAATTTTATATTATCAAGCATACCAGGATTACTTTGTAAATACATTCCCTTCTCTGGCATTCTTTTGTTTTGTTTTGGAAAAAAAGAGAATGACGTAATTCAAAGAAGAGTCAACATGACCGTGCAGGTTTTAGGTTCTGTGTGGATCATACCCTTATTTTGCTTTGCACAAGTAAGCATCAAAGAAAGCAGTAAGAAACCTTATTCTCATAAGGAGAATAACAAATAGTTCCCTATACTGCCCCAGCCGTCTTTTCCTTTTTCTTGTCCTTTTGGGTATATTGTCAAACTCACAGATGTGCCTACCTTGTAACAAAGTGACTGCTCTTTTGGACTTGCAGAGGTGCCTTACTCAGTCTCAATCCAGGGACCCTGGGCGGTGCCCTCAGCCCAGCTCTCATGAGCAACAGTACACTGGCAACTATTCAAGGTCAGTAGAACTTTTCCCCTTGCTTAGCTCTTTTTTTTTTTTCTTTTTAATGAGGGAAGTTTGCTTTGCTAGAGGTGAAGGTGATGGGGAGAGAGAGTTGAATTGATAATGCTGACTAACTTGAGGACCAAGAAAATGTCCTTGTAAAAAAGCTTTCTAGAAGCAGTATAGGTGTTCGTTTGTAAGAACAGGAAATATGCTTAGTTTGTAGTATGGTAAAAAAAAACCAGGGCTCTATGCTGATACTTACCTTCTGTGAATAGACATGGAGGCAGAACTTCCCCCTGATAAATTTACCTAAGTAGACATCCAAGACCCATCTTCAGGTAAACTTGACCAAGAAAAATTTGCCAGTCCCTATCCCCACCCCTAAGAGAGACATATATGAGAAGGTCCCGTAATGAGTTAACCTTGAAGCACATTAGGCAGACTTCAGGAGTACTTTTCATTGTTAGGTTCTGCCCTTTGTGTATCCCCATCAGTATAGAACATATATTCTCTTGGATTGTCTCTTTTCCAAGCCCAGATGGGTCTCTTTCGTCTTTAGCATGCTATCCAGTCTAAATCCACTCATTCCATGTAGGGAAGGGTTTGCCTTGTTTGGCTTGTGAGCTTTGTGTCTAAAGATGCTATGTTACGTGATTCAGGAAGACAATTTGAGACATCACTATATTAATCAGAGAATTTTTTTTCTTAAAATTTAAATGGTTTGTACTTATATGAGAGTTCCTAGAGCCAAAAATAAGCTGTTAGCCAACCTCAATTAAGATGAATGTTTCATGAATGATAATCTCTACAGTATACTATAGAGAATATGAGTTACAAATCTAAGACATGACTTAGATTACTCTTTCTAGGGTTCCTGGACCCAATTCCAACATGTCCTCCCCACCCAACACCAACCAATTCTTGCATACCAGCAGGGTGTCTGAGAGTTCAAATTAATTCTGATCCTGTCTACCTAGAGATAGCATCAGATCCCACAGGTTAAGAGTTCAGTCCTACAAGACTGCTCCTGTTTCCCCTTCAGACACCAGTTGTAAGCCCAGACTATTATTACCTGTGACCTGACCAGTTACAGATTGAAGGTTCCAGCAACCTCTTCCTTAGATTGATTCTGTTACTTTGCTAGAGTGGCTCACAGAACTCAGGGAAACACTTGCTTATGTTCACCGGTTTATTAAAGGATATGATGAAGGATACAAATCAACAGCCAGATGAAAAGATACATAGGATGAGGTCCCAAACAAAGCGATTTCTGTCCTTGTGGCGTTTGGGGCCTGGCTCAGTGGCAGGTAGAAGTATTCCGGTTCCCCAAGATTGGAAGCTCTCCACAAATGACCCAAAAGCTGTCCTCTTGGGTTTTTACAGAGGCTTCATGATATAGTCGTGATTGACTAAGTCATTGGCCCTTGGCTGATTCAAACTCCATCCCCTCTCCCATCCCATGAGGTTGGGGGTGGGACTGAAAGTTCCAACCCTCTGATCACGTGGTTCGTCCTAGGGGTAACCAGTCCCTGCCCTTTGGCGGGGGGGGTCCAAAAGTCACCTTCCCTGATATTAAGACACCCATTTCACCATTTTGGCTCTGAAGCGTTTTCAGGAACTGTGGATGTAGACCAGATCTATCTGATAAATATTAATTTGGTCACTCAGAAGACTGAATGACCAAATCCGTATTTCTTATAAATCATTATATGACAATTACCTTACTAAGCTATTAGCCAACCTCAATTAAGATGAGTGTTTCATGAATGATAATCTCTACAGTATACTATAGAGAATATGAGTTATAAATCTAATTCCTGGTTAGGGCTGTAAACCTTTTGTGACACAAGGATTTCTTTTTGGCTTAAGACTTGTGATAAATCACTTTTTCTCTTGTGTGAGGGTGTACCTCTGGGCTGTAGTGATCCTGCAGAGGCAGATGCCTTCCCAGGGCACAGCTGACCTTAGAACGAGTACTGTCTGGGAAGCCCCGTGACTGTTCTATGACAGGAAGCCTAGAATCTCAGAAAACGTCAAGCTGCACCAAGTCTTGCTGATCTATGCTCTTGTATGACCAGGTCTGAAGTCAGAGACCTTCCCTTCAGTCCCCCTCGCTTTCTTTATATATTATGTAAGAAATTAACCAAATTTTTAATGCCATTAGTAAACCCCTCAAATCTACATGTGAAAATGTGGTTATATGGGTGGGAGGAGCTTGGAGGGGTTGTCAGAGAACAGAAGATACTCAGTGAAAGTTCACCGATAGCTTCTGTGGAGCAGCGACAGACAGCGTCATGGAGAGACTCTCACTCCGAGAGCAAGTCCCAACCTTAGCGAGCCGCTCTGGGCCTCCTGCTGTCTTCCTCCTCCCCCCGCCTCCTCCTCCTCCC